AATTAAAATCTAAATCAATTATTTAATATTGAGAGATTAATATAAAAAAATATTACTTTTTATTTACGTAACTCAAATTCTGTACCGCCGCTAGAGGATCAGTACCGTCACTATTTATGTAATAAATTAAACCCTGTAATACGGTTCATGGTCTTTGGAAACACAGTATGGAATTGAAATACCTTAAAGTCAACAGCTTTGCTGGACAGCAAACGCGCTCAATCAGGTTTGGGAACAGCAATTCTGAAGTGTGAACGCGGGAAAATAAAGCAAGACGATTTGGTCTTTTCTTGTTCATGTTTCTAGTCTACCAGAGTCTTTTCCCCCGTCTCTTTCACAACCTTGATTTCATCGTTTCATACGCGCATATGCTCCGTGGAATTTTCGTTTGTTGTCTGCGCTGGTAGTGGTTTCCGCCATAAATCTTCGTTTTGTCTTCCCGGGTTAGACCCGCTTGTGCCCTCATTTTGTACAATTCAATCTCTTTTGCTCCACGTCTGTGTGGTTTTGTTCACACGTGATAGATGAATTCTCATCTGGGTTTTCATTGATTTCTTCGTTTCTTATATAATCTGCATCTTTCCCACTTATTTTTTTATCTGGGTTTTAGCTTTCTCCGTCTTTGGTGCCAAATTTCCTTTCTTTTCTTTCAATTTTGGTTAAATGAGAGGCCACTGAATTTTTGCAACAATTTGAGAGTGGGAGATTTGATAATAGCGTTCAAAAATGAATTGCTTCTATATTTTCAAGGACAAATCAAAGAGCAAGAGGAAGTCACAATCTGATCCGGTATTGAGGGACAAAGGCAAACCAGAAACTTCAGCTCTGAATCGGGCAGTCAGATCTATGCCCTCTCCCAGGAGCATACAGGAGTTGTACAAGGAGAATGAACATAATTTGAGAGTCTTCTCTTATGAAGAGCTAAGGGATGCAACTCATGCTTTCAATAAGTTGCTAAAACTTGGAGAAGGTGGTTTTGGGAGTGTGTATAAGGGCACAATTAAGCCTGCAAATGGTCAGGGTGAATCTACAATTGTTGCCATTAAGAAGCTCAACAAGCATGGTTTGCAGGTACTAGCTGCTATTCTTCCCTTCTTTACTATTTCTTTTCCTTTGGTTGATTTTATATATGATCTAGTAATCAGGATTTCATCCCTATTTTGTTATACCTTGCTAGTTATTTTCTTTGTATTTATCATGTTTGGAAATTGGATTATATTTTACAAGGAATTTTCAGCAAAATGGGATGCTATTTTTTAAAATTCAAGGTTGAATTGTAGTTTGTGTCTCTATGTTGTAATGGTCAAATGCAGTGAGGGCCCTTAAAAACATTCCACATCTTGATAATTCGTCAAATTTGAGTGTAGGATTTATACTGATAGATCCATCCTCGATGTTTGCTGTAACATTTCATAATAAAGGTACATCACTTCATCGATGAAGATGTTTTGAGAGTGTTAAAGTAGCCACAAAAAAGTGGTAAAGTAAAGATAGAGCCACTTGCCCTCCCTTTTCATCATTCCCTTTTCTTAGAGAATGGTTTACTGCCTGTTTGTATTTTATGCATATATAGCTTTTGCATTCAGAAGTACCTTGAAACAAGTAGCATTGTCCTAATCTTCCATGTAATGACTAATCAATAAATCCTGTTTGTCTGGTTAGCCATATATTAATATAACTTCAAATAATGCCACTTTGCCTCTGCTCTGTATGCTTTGTAAAATGCTTAATTATGGTGGATTGCCTAGAAAGAAAGGTATAAGCTAGAACATATACTCTAAATAGTTCTATTAATCATAATAAATCTTATATTTGTGCTAGAATATCATATATTGGCACTTTCTTTCGAGAATTGATTCCTGTTTATGATATTTGTCCACTTACTTTGCAGGGTCATAAAGAATGGCTTTCTGAGGTTCAATTCCTTGGCATTGTTAGTCACCCAAACCTCGTAAAACTTTTAGGATATTGTTCTGAAGATGGGGAAAGGGGGATCGAACGACTTTTGGTGTATGAATTTGTGCCTAACAGGACCTTAGAATATCATCTTTTCAACACAGCAACGCCTACTCTGCCATGGAAAAGAAGGTTAGAGATAATGCTTGGGGCAGCTCAAGGATTGGCTTACTTACATGATGGACTGGAAGTCAAGGTACATTCTACTTTTTCTTACTCTGCCAAATTCAGCAACTAAATATAAAAGTATTGACACATAATAAAAGTTTAAAAGATTGCAAATGCTATTGAGATCTAGCTAGCACGCTGTAAGTATTGATAAACTGAGTATGATATTCCACTTGTAATGTTATCTGGTTAATTTTGATGAGCCTAGGATGTGGTTTTATATATAGTTGAAGGATTTAATGTACTCTTATCTGCATGTTGTTCAATGTTTCTCATTGTGCTCATTGGATAGGTGATATATCGAGATTTCAAATCTTCAAATGTGCTCTTGGATCAAAATTTTACGCCAAAGCTCTCAGACTTTGGGCTTGCTAGGGAAGGACCAACTGGTGATCGTACTCACGTATCCACTGCAGTAAGTAGACAGTAGATGAGATCATTTTTTTTTGTGAACGACATGAGTAGCACGAGTTGCTTGATCACAGTGCAAAATATGCCACATTTTGGATCAGGCCTTCATGACTTGTAATTTCATGTTTTGCTGCAGGTGGTTGGGACTTACGGCTATGCTGCCCCAGAATATGTAGAAACTGGCCATCTTACCATCCAAAGTGATATATGGACCTTTGGGGTGGTGCTTTACGAGATCCTCACAGGCAGACGAACAGTGGAGAGAAACCGCCCACTTGCGGAGCAGAAGCTTCTAGACTGGGTAAAAGACTTCCCTCATGATAGTAATCGCTTCAGCATGATAATCGACCCCCATCTCAGAAACCAATATCCTATCAGGGCAGCTAGAAAAATTGCCAAATTGGCTGATAGCTGTCTGGCTAAAAATGCAAAAGAACGTCCAACAATGAGCCAGGTAGTAGAGAGCTTGAAGGAAGCAATACAAGATTCAGAACAGAGTCAGGGAAGCACTTCCGTTAGCCCCAGGCCTGTTAAATCCTCTTCTAAAATGGTGGATCATAGATCAAGGAGGGTAAGTATGTACTATATATTTGTGATCTCAGACATTGCCAAATCTCAGTCACTTCATTACTAACTTCGCTATTCTTTCCATGTTTTTGACAGGTTTAAATGTTTGGATGTTACTCAACTCAATATTAGCTTGCCTTTTTTGGGAGGATTATGAAATTCACGAATGACAGATTGTAATTGGTGAGGAACAAGGCAATTAGCTACATGGAGAGAGTTGTAGAATGTAAATGATGATATGAGATTGTAAGCGTCTTTTTTGCCATAAAATGCTATATTAATTTTGTTTTTATTTTTTTCCATCTAAATCTAAATTACGACACAATATAATTTTCACTCAATGACATAACTGAAATTAATATCGAATCTATATATAAAGAGATCATATTAAGTGAAAAAATTTTACATTAAAAAAATAACAAATAAATATAAATTAAATATATATAAAAAAAAGTTACTTTACCTAAGTAATCTTGTATTAAAGTCAGATGTCCAGTAATTACAATTATATAATTGAGTTATTAATTATTCTAGTCCACTTAGCTGAAATTACAAGCCCAACAGGGGTTCGATTGAAACTGAAATTAAGTTTGGGGCTTAATTGACAATTATGAAAAAGCAAGAGGATTAAGTTTTCGGAAAACGTAACTAACTCGCTAGTTGACTCACTGAGTTAGTGAGTTTCAGGCTTAAACCCTCGGGAAAAGGTTATATTCCCGATTCAGTCCCTCAACTTTCATTTTTGGACTAAAACTACCCTCAAACTTCAAAAAGTACTAAAAAAATCCTTGAACTTCAATTTTCGGGACCAATTTCGTCCTTCCGTCGACGGAAGTGCCAGATGGCACGTTAAATTGCCACGAAATCAATTTTTGTTTGAAATATTTAATTACGTGGAAAATAACTTAATCCACGTCATTTTAATTAATTTATATATTAAAAATTTTAAAATTTCATAAATACCCCCATTTTCATCTTCCATCACCTCTTGTCTCTCTCTATCCTCAGATGTTTTCTCATCTTGCAACCCAATCAACACCAATCATCCCTCATTGCTCCGATCTCCGATCACCATCTAGATCTGTAAAGAAAACACAACATTCCTTCAATTAACATCGACAATAACTAGATCTGGAAATTCAAGCAATCAGAAGCAACACAAAACTCTAAATCTCATTCAAGCATGATTGCAAGCCAACAAAGAAACACAACAAAAA